TTTGAATAATTGGAAAGACAATATTATAAATATGATAGCATTTTTGTACATGAGCATACATTTTTGAAAGGAAAAATAAATTATTCAATTGCATTAAAAAAATATTTTGTTTCATATTCTTGCGAATTATCAGATCATTCTTCTATTATTTAAATACTCTGTCATTATGAAACCTTGTTAATAATTAAGTAAATATTAATTGTACATTTGCACCAATTTTTACATGGCATTTTCACACTAAGAATGCCACGTGCAAAATTATATACACGAACAATTCTGAACAAATATATGCAAGTGAGTTGTAAATTTGATATGTAATGCATACATTACAAAAACCCATGACAGTGTTCACTAAAATGAAATGTATGGACTCTTATATAAATACTTCGGTATATGTGATATGGATATTATGGATGATATTTTTGAGAATGACACAAGTAATGAAATTTTTCAGCATTGAATTGGATTCTTGAACCAGAGCCATGTGAACCTGGTCCACCTGTACCTCTCATTGAAGACTTGTTAACATCACCAGAGTATGTTCATTCTGATACCCCTATGGTATGGTTACAGCATGCATTATCCCTGAATCCATTAAAAGAGCTGCATTGGCAACGAAACAACCCAATGTGGTCGATTGTAAGGAAATATAGCATATCAGCTTCCAACTTTGGTGCAGTTCTCAGTTCTAAGCAAAGGCGGTAAGACGTGTGATTAAATTTTTGCGAAAAAGACTTTTAAAATTACAGTCAAACTTTGTTATCTCAAACCCATTATCTCATATTTCATGGATATGTCACAGTAATTTTGAAGTCCAAACCATTTATAAAAGACTGGGACATTTTATTCTTGATAACTCTTTATGTGTTATTCTTGAATCCACGGATATTTCCAACATTTTTCTTGGTCTCATTGAGTTTGAGATAATGAGGTTCGACTGTAATGACTAGATATTTGTACATAAAGATGCAGGAAATATAAGATTAATAACCAAAAATCATATTTTCTTCTCCAGATTGACATTGTCACTGAAGAAACAGCTGATGTCGGCTTACAAGCTGGAGTCCATCAAGGCTGTTGCATGGGGTATCACTCATGAAGATGATGCTTTGAGAAAGTATGAAAAGGACTTTGATGCAGCTGTAGAGCAGTCAGGTATACAGCACAAAATAACATTCATTCAACCTCTGACATGTTAACATTCAATGTGTCAAAACAAATAACAGGACTTATCCTGGTAAAAAAACAGAAATCAATTACTGAAGTCTAATTGTAAAAAAAAAACTAGAAATATGTCCATAGGACATGAATGCCCCGCCGAGGATATATTAGTAAAGCAACATGAAATTTGTACATGTATAAAATTTGATCAGTTTGGTTCAGGCAGGGCTTATAGTTAGTTGGGAATAAAAATGTAGGTCCAGCATCCAAAGCAAGTCTGATAGTGTCCATCCCTAGATGCATCATCCATGCAAGTTTGGTTCAGGTAGGGTTTATAGTTACTTGGGAATGAAAATATAGGTCAGATCCAGCATCCGAAGCAAGTCTGGTAGTGTCCATCCCTAGCTGCATCATCCATGCAAGTTTGGTTTAGGTAGGGCTTATAGTTACTTGGGAATGAAAATGTGAGTCAGATCCAGCATCCGAAGCAAGTCTGGTAGTGTCCATCCCTAGATGCATCATCCATGCAAGTTTGGTCTAAGTAGGGCTGATAGTTCCTTAGGAATAAATCTGCTCCAAAAACTTCAACCTGGTCACTCATCTGGAAAATGTAGGTCAGATCCAGCATCCGAAGCAAGTCTGGTAGTGTCCATCCTTAGATGCATCATCCAAGCAAGTTTGGTCTAAGTAGGGCTTATAGTTCCTTAGGAATAAATCTGCTCCAAAAACTTCAACCTGGTCACTCATCTGGAAAATGTAGGTCAGATCCAGCATCCGAAGCAAGTCTGGTAGTGTCCATCCTTAGATGCATCATCCAAGCAAGTTTGGTCTAAGTAGGGCTTATAGTTCCTTAGGAATAAATCTGCTCCAAAAACTTCAACCTGGTCACTCATCTGGAAAATGTAGGTCAGATCCAGCATCCGAAGCAAGTCTGGTAGTGTCCATCCTTAGATGCATCATCCAAGCAAGTTTGGTCTAAGTAGGGCTTATAGTTCCTTAAGAATGGACCTGCTCCAAAAACTTTAATTTGGTCACTCATCTGGAAAATTTAGGTCAGATCCAGCATCCGAAGCAAGTCCGATAGTGTTCATCTCTAGATGCATCATCTATGCAAGTTTGTATCAACATGTAAAGTTTGATAACACCATCTTGAATGGTATGTTTAAAACAGAGCTAAACACTATTTAAGAAAAGTCACGTCAAGGTCAAAGGAAAGGTCAAGGTCAAAAAATGTTGATGCAGTTGCATAGCTCTCATCAATATCTATCAGCATATGAAGTTTGATGAAAATATCTTGGATAGTTTCTTTGAAACTTAGCTTTGAACAGAGCTAAACACAAAGTGGGACGGAAGGACAGAAGGACAGAAGACGGACATGACAAACACTATATGCCCCGGCCATATTCATGGCGGGGCATAAATATTCAGTTACCAACATATTCCAGAAAATTTGCTTTTTGAAGTAGAAGGATTATAAAAGCTCTACTTAGACTTTGTTTGCATTACAAAATCAATTGTATTATGGTTTGTTTGCATTCAGTAGTATTATAATTTTTTCTGGAAAGGATATGGTTGCATGAATCCGGAGTGTTGGGAGCTTCACCTGATGGCTTAGTTGTTCGACCACCAACATGCAGTGTATTTTATCAAACTCCAGAAGTCAAAGACGCCATTCCTGATATTGTAGAGGTGAAGTGTCCATATACAGCATCGTCTTCAACAGAGCAGATGGGGCACAAAATTTGAAGGATTTTTCATAGGTAAATAACATTAAAAATCTGTATTGTCCAGTACTTTGAAATTAAAAATCTTGGTGAGTAAATGATTTCAAAACATGTATTAATTTACAAGTGCAGCTGTTCAATATGGTATGAAGATATTGAAAAAGGAGGGGATATGTACTGGCATGACACAACTTAAGTGTTTTTTGATTTTTTTTTAGATCTTAAACAAGATACCCTGTGCCTGAAAACCAGTCACCCGTACTATCATCAAATTCAAGGCCAGCTACACATATGTAACAAAACATTCTGCGACTTAATTGTGTGGACAAGAGTAGACTGCATTGTGATTAGAATAGTAAAAGACATTGAATGGACAGCAAATGTTCCAAAGCTGATAGATTTCTACATTAACATTTTCATTCCAGCACTGATGGAAAACTGAGTTCTGGTTTGAACTTCTTGACACTTAGTTTTGTACCTCTAGAATTTTCTAACAATGGAAAATGGGTAATCATGTTAAATGTTCCCAAGTCTCATAAATGTATGATATGATATGTCACAATCCAATGAATCCATCATAAAACTTCTGGCTTATAAGACTATTTTAAATAGCAATGATGCTTAATAAAATCTATGTACTACATAAAAAAAGAATATCAAAATTTAGAATCATTTTATTAATGATGAATTGAAGATGTTATTCTCAAAGTGAAAATGTAACATTTTTGTCTTTCTTAATAGATAAATTGTTGAAAACATGAATTTGTTGAGTTGTGCTTTAAAGGTAAATATACTTTAAACTAGAGATTTAAAATTATAAGTAAACCCTCTTCCAAATTATATTGTCAAATGAAGAATCGAATTGCCAAACATTCTTGTAATAAATCCATGCTAAACAAAAGGGATTTTCATTTTCTGAAGTACATGTATTACAACATACTACAAAGTTAACAAATATAACCATTGACATTGATAACAAATCAAAATTTGCTTATCCCTTGCACTTTGGTATGAATATCTTCACTGTTTAGTGTATACTGTCACACGCCAATGCAAATTTATAATAAGTACATGTATCTTTAAGTAATTTCTTTCAAAAGTGGAGCTTGCAAGTTTACAAGACAAGAACAGAGTTGAAATATTTTTGTTGAGATTGGTCTGTAAGTAGATGGTATGTGACGGAGAATCTCGTAATTCTTTATCCTCTCGTTGGCTCTTTCCACATGAATAAGTGCTTTAGCAATCTTGTAACAGTGCTGCTTCTTGTATGGTAAACTGGCCTCGTGTCGATAAAAGAGCTTTTATAATTAAGCAGACACCCTGGGGCAACTGGTCATGAATGGTGAAACCTTTGACCACCAAAATAAGGTCTCCAGCTTTGAACTTTCGTAAAACTTGGCTGTGACGTACAATAGCTACATCAGAAGTAGAACCTGGGTACAGCATGGAGCAAAATGTAAGTGCACCATTTGGAGGCACGCAAGTTACTGCTTTAAAAGTATGGCAACTTTTGTACATACTGTAGGCCATGGCCTGATTATCCATATGTGTTGGGATGTCCTGGGTTGTTTCATTTGCATCCATGGATGCTCTAGCAGAGGAAAAATCCTCAAAAGATTTTGGCAGAGACCCTGAAAAAAAGTTGGAAAAAAATTAATTTGATTATTTGTAATTGTGTAAAAAAATTGTGTTACAGTCAATCTTTCAAGAATACAATAAATTTAACTGCATTAAATTTTTGCAAGTCATTATGATAAATTTTAAAACAAACCTTTGCATTTAAGCCGACTTGGAAAACATTCTACGCTACATTCTACACTACGCCATCAGACAGCATCTTGTATAGGGAAAAGACCACTAATTATTTTCCCATAGAACTCCATACAAACCTTAGGCCCTCTCAGTACTTTACTATGACAATTTCAGAAAAATCTTTAGCATCATTTCAAACTTTGTTCTAAGCCCTAACAAAAAATACTGAAAAAAATATATGGTCCCATGGCGTTTATAGGTCAAAATTGCAGTTATTTTCAACTTATAGAGATTCGCAGTAAATAACACGCGGCATAAAAAATTAACCCCCACTCCTAAAATCTTCCCTGGCATTTCTATAGTTCACCTTACTGCTACCAGCACAATTCAAAGGAGTGAATGACGTCTGGGCCGGTGATGATATTTGGATATATTGGTGACTGTAATAAATAAAATATTTGTACAATGAATTGTTTTTTTGCTTTGATGTTAATAAAGTGATATTAAGTCAAAATTGAGTCAATAATTTCATAAGGGTGGATTCTACCCAGATTGGCAGAATTAGGTAAAAAGCTCCAAAATTGGATAAATCATAGTTAATTAAGCAAAATTCAAAGATTTTAAAAAGACTGATATAGAATTTTTTTATGCTTATGCAAAGTATATTTTTTAAGACTCTGATATACTAATTGATTCTTATCTAATCCCTCCTATTGCTTAAGTATGTACAAAAAAGTTTCCCCACCCCCCAGTGAAAAACACTTAAAGAAATAGCAGGTGCCCCCTTTTATTTTTGTTTACAATTAATTTAGACAAGTTTAAATCAATCCTTTTGATAACAAATCAAAGTTCAATGTCTGTAGTCTTATACATTACAATCAGAAGCTACTTTTTGAATTTTATTCTAAGAAAAGGAGAATCTAAATATTTTTTTTTAAAAATTAAAGAAAAGCAAAAACTGAACCCAAAATGTACTTTACAATAAGAGGCTGGAAAGTTAATAAAATTTTTACCTGCAATGTACAGAAAACTGTCCGACAAAATACATCGGGTGGGTAGGGAGTCTCCATTTTCTTCTTATATATAGAGAAAATGCCCCTGCTGATCAGAGACCTAAACTCCCAAATAATAACAAAATATGTTAGCATAACAGTCAATCTAAGATGTTCATCCCTCAATGGCAACAAGTTTTTATTACAGTAACTGAAATTGTTAGGAAATAGGAAATCACAATTGGAATTCCTTTAAATGTACCTTCTCTTCATTGTATTTAATATCGTGGATTGATATTGGCTTCCTTTTACTAGACTCTATTTTTAGGGCAAGCAATTCCTTTTCCAGTTGTATTTCTGTTGAGAGGCGCTGCATTTCTTGAGTACAGTTAAATGTGCAGGATGCTGAGTAGTTGTGCTCTGATATCAACTGAAAATATATTGTAAATCATGTACAGTTAAAAGAACTTTATATATTATTAAAAATTATTGAAAATGTTTCAGTGTTGGTCATTTGTCATCATTGGTGTTTTAAATGAGCTTTACTTTTTCTTGATATTGACATTTTGGTGCTTGTTGAATCTGCAACTGGTCCATCTGTGAAGATGACAGGGACTCCTCACTTTTGAGTTTTTTCCTCCTTTGTAAAATAATTAAACTTGAATTATTTTTTTATTCAGTAAACTGTTGTAAGCTACTCTGTTTATACATGTACCCTTTTAAAGATTTTTAGTAAAATATTCTCAATTAAACTCCACCCACCCACCATCCAAAAACAAGATGTCGGTCATATTTTGAAAAATAATTTCACCTTTTTGTACATTCAGGATCAGAGAAATCCATGGCCTTTCCTTCATTCCATGCAAAATATGCAGGGTCCCCCTCCTTCTTACCATCCTTAAAGTGGCAGGAGCAGATGCGATCATTCTGATCTCCTGGTTGGCGATCAGCTCATCTAAAAATATACATTATACAAAGACTGAGTGAAGGAGAATTAAAAAGCAAAACATGTTCATTTAGCATGTTATTATCAAATAGCCTAAATGACTTATTTTTTCATTATTTTTTTTTTTAAATGTTACATTTACTTGCAAGTACAAGATAACCATGTGCATAACATTAACTAATCCGAGATTCCTCTGATTCTAACCCCCGCTTTTATATTGTGACTTGTGCGCACAAGTCACAATATAAAAGCGGGGGTTAGAGTCAGAGGAATCTCGGATTAAACATTAACAAACGGTAACAGTATTTGGTAGTAATAATACGAAATAAAATGTCATAAAAACAGCTGTTAAACAAAAATTAATCTTGCTACAAATTGCACAGTTTTTGTAGTATGTACTCTTCATTATTCTTCTGCTATATTGATTACTACGAGATTTAACTTTTTAGCATGCATGTATAAATACTGTATCTGACAATGCAGCATCGTGACATATCGTTACAAGTACCTACAAATTTTGTCAATACATCTACGTTTACTGAGTTTTTTCCCTAGCAGGCCGAAATATCTCCATCATGTCACCAGGAACAACACTCGTGCATCTCGTAATTAGTGCTGCAATAAACAAACTGATGTGTTTTTTCTCACCTGCATGGTTTTCCCGACGCTTCAGCTACTTTCGTTATTTCTAACCAATGAAAATTGTCCTTACTTTTCTGTTGCGTCATGCAATTTTATTGCACGCATCACTGAATTGTAGAACACACATCACAAGATTTCGAATATACATCACAAGATTATCGAACATGCATCACAAGATTTCGAATATGCATCACAAGATTATCAAACATACATCACAAGATTTCGAATATACATCACAAGATTTCGAACATACATCACAAGATTATAGAATATACATCACAAGATTTCGAATATACATCACAAGATATTGAATATACATCACAAGATTTTGAACATACATCACAAGATATTGAATATACATCACAAGATTATAGAATATACATCACAAGATTTCGAATATACATCACAAGATTTCGAACATACATCACAAGATTATAGAATATACATCACAAGATTTCGAATATACATCACAAGATATCGAACATACATCACAAGATTTCGAATATACATCACAAGATATCGAACATACATCACAAGATTTCGAATATACATCACAAGATTATCAAACATACATCACAAGATTTCGAATATACATCACAAGATTTCGAACATACATCACAAGATTATAGAATATACATCACAAGTTTAAGAATATACATCACAAGATATTGAATACACATCACAAGATTTTGAACATACATCACAAGATTTTGAATATACATCACAAGATTTCGAACATACATCACAAGATTTCGAACATACATCACAAGATTTTGAATATACATCACAAGATTTTGAATATACATCATAAGATTTCGAACATACATCACAAGATTTTGAATATACATCACAAGATTTTGAATATACATCACAAGATTTCGAACATACATCACAAGATTTTGAATATACATCACAAGATTATAGAATATTGCAACGTTTGACATGCCATAGAAGTCTTATTAATTATTTTCATTAATTTTCCCAATCTAAGTAAACAACATTGATTTCTGCTTACAAATAGCCTATTGTCTTTAAACATTTTTCCTACGCAAATAAGGCACGTACCCTATGTTCTAAATGAATGAAAAAGTTTCAATATGCACATCTCTTTATTATATATTTTTCTCTGAGTCCAAAAAACAGTCTCAGTCAGTGTTTAGAGCTTCCTTAAGGAGGCTCATTACACCACTTTTTGATGACGTACTACACAAAAAAATAAACCTCCATTGTGACGACCGGTTTTCTCTGGGGACAAATCGTACAGGTACCTCTATAATATGACCCTGACCTTTAAAACGCTTTAAAAATAGATGAAACATGCGGTGTTATAAAAAGTGAAAACAAAGTAACGGATTCATAATGCATAAACCAAGAAGAATTGCTATTGAGTAGAAACAAAAGAAAACAACAGTCAAATCTTCGCCAAACAAGTAATGTCAATTTCATAGCGATGAATGCAGTGAGCTCTATCAATCAATGACATGTTTGTATGGAGGAAATTCGAGTTAAAATCTACACCCTTGTTGAAATTAAAAAATTATTTACTTGCATTATTTACTGTGTTGGTGTTAATTTATATATTTGCTTTATTGATTTAAATGTATACACTTGCAATTTAAAGTTTTGTTCTGAATTTTAGATGTAATGTCAAACGTTCCTTGGTGTTTTGAGTCTTGGATAATTAGGAAAGATAACTCTTGAAAGTGGACATTTTATTCCAAATATTTTTTAAATCGGATTTTTCATTTCGTTTAAACATTCTTCATTCAATTTGACATATGTAATTATTCATTGAAATACATTCTCTGTCTCTTCAGAACTCATTTTCTTAATGTTTTATGCATAGATTAAAAAGATAATGACATTGATTGTTTTTAAGCAGAAAATTATTTTTTCTAATAAAATTATTATTAGGTATTATGAGGTATTTTCACTGTGTGTACTTGTCTTAAGAAGATGCCAATCATTTGACACTGAAAGTTCAAAAATTCTGTAAATAATAAACTTGAAATGAAACATTTCACTAAAATTAGACAAAAACTAAAAACTTCTATAAAAAATATTTATGATATCAATACCCCCATCTGGATATTTGACATCTACATTATAAGTGGTGCTGTATTGAAATCTAAAATAAACTGTGGATGTAATGAGCCACCTTAAAGCAACACTTGTGCGAAGAGAAAATTCGGACTACTGCACATTCATTCGATAGAATTTTTTGACGCAGTTATTTGGACCAACAATGCATCATCACTTGTTAAAGCTACGTTTAGCAGCAAAAGTTCAACGAAAAGTAAACATGCCCTGATTTAATGGATAAATATTAAAGATAAATAGTAAACGAAACGTTCTTCATTTACTTGCAGCATTGTTCAGGCTTTTTTTGGGGGAAATGTAACTTGCATACATATGTACGTCAGAGTCTAGACTCACCAAATGTCACCCGCAGTTTGACGAGCCCGATCTAAATTATAACAAAATCAATATTCTGCTCTCACCATAACGGTCGCACCGTCAACATATTAGGTATTAAGAGAATTTTAGCATGATTTTAAAACGAATTCCATGAATTTAAAATTGCTTTACTAATTTACTTCAGTTTTTATGTGCAGCTGTAAATTACGGGAACAGGCGTGGATCCAGAAAATTTTTCCAAGGGAGGGGGGGGGGTTCCATCCCAGTCCAAAAGAAAAAAAACCAACCCAGAAATTTCTTGACAAGCAAAAAAAAAAATAACGTAAACTCGTGGGGTATTAGAGCATTAGAGTCGAATACTTCTTGACTTTTTATACCGTTTTAACACAAATTCACGTTTACCAGGGGGGTCTGCGTTTTCCGAGGGGGATCCAAGGTAAATTTTTTTTCTTGCTTTAGTATATAAATTTAACAACCTTGCAAATTCCAAGGGGGATCACACCACCCTTCTTGATCCGCGCATGGGGAAAAAGTAACATTAAATCGATTATGACATCATAATGGTTCTAGCACATGCTAAACACATGATGTCATACGACGATGTTCTACGTTAAAGCTTCATGTACAGTGTACTTTAAATTTCTGCTGGCATAAGAGAACACTTTAAAAAAGGAAATACCTGGTTGCAGATTGACGGTTGTTGTCCCATGTTCTTTGACATTGTTGGTATCAGCGTAAGTGCAGCGCCATGTTTGCCCATCTGAAGGTCGCTGTATACCAAAAGTTATTGTGTCTCCATCACAGCTTACGCTGTAATCAGCCTGCTTATCCGAATGAACTGAACATGCACCTTTAAATATGGCAAACTCGAAACCAATGTTACCAGGAATGTTAAGACTAGCACTTGTCCAATTCGGTGAAAATGTACATTGGAAGAATAATGGTGTTCCATATGTCACATTTGCAACTGGGGAAGGATTCACAATGACAGACGAATCTAAAGGTAAACATTTTATTTAAATATAATATCTAGATCTTTTAGTTTTGCAGTTTCTGAATACTAAGAAACCTTTATGAAATAAATGTAGAAACTATTGCGTGGATTATGCTTTTTTGTTATTTATATTCCTTTTTCATTCAAATTGATAAAACATGAAAAGGTCTCTTGTTTTTTCTTTGTCACGTTTATGATTTGCACATTGAACAAATAGAATTAATTTTGAAAGTTACATGCGCTTTCCAGCGTCAGGAAGACCAAAAGGATTCTGATAAAAATCATCCTGTCCCTGCCAAAATTTTAACATAAAACAATAGGCATAGAACATGTTTTAATATATAAATAATGTATTTCATAAATTTCATTCAGAACCAAGAATTTTCTGTGATTTTTTTTTATTTTCTTCAGTAATGATTTTTTTTTTTTTTGGAAATTACAGTATTCGAGCTCAGAAGTCCATTAAACATTGCAAAATAAGAGAGGAGCAAACATGGACCTCTAAAACTTCAATGGTGGGATCAGGGGTCAAGGAGGAGTGAGCATCCCCTGCCGACCGGTTACACCAGCCATGTACTTCTTGTCATGATCGGGAAAGAATGGTAAAAATCCGATGACAACGCAGTCTGTAACTATTTGCCTAACAATCAGTATGAACAAAAGTCAGTCAGATGAATACATTACTCTTTTTCTTTATTTTGTTTTTTTTTTCTATGTTTTGTTTTTTTTTGGTTTTACATTTCTTGAGTTATAGGTCTTTTTTCCAGTCTGCTACAGGGAGACTGATATTCTGGCAAGTCGTTGATGAATAAAGATACACGAATTTAAAATTTACACAAAACTATATCATTACAATTTACATCTGGCAAACTTTATTTGCTTTAAAATCATCAAATTGAACAGAAATTTCATCATTGTTCCATATTTAGTTGTTCTTGCATGATTTTTTTCTACTGTGTGTAGTGCACATGTATATACAAATAGTTTATCAGTACTTGAAGCTGTATAGCAAAAATGAGCTAAATGAACAAGAAGGGAAAGAATTATGCAGATCTCGGTAATTAAAAGGTCACAATTCCTTAGAAGTTTGAGACTGTAAGACAAATAAATGATATTATAGTATTAGAAAGAAAAAGTCCAAGGACCACATCGCTCACCTAAGCATTGTCCTAGGAAAAAAACAGCAAAAATCAGCTGAATATTGAAAATCTTGAATGCAAATGGCCCCGACCTAAAGGGAGAGGGAGTAATACAGGGTATGATTTGAACAAACTTTGAAATTACACAAACTTAGGAATCTCATATACATGTTTTTTTTTTTCGACTGCGACTTTTTTTCTTGTAAATGAACTTTCATTGTGTCTTCACCCTTCCTCGGGTCATGATTCGAACAACTTGAATCTAAACTATCTGAGGATGCTCAGTTGCTTAAATATGACAGACCATAACTTTGGTGTTCTAGAGATTTATTTTTCCTATTATATTTTTACTGTTCTTTATCTCCATATGTTTTATGTAAAACTTTGATAATCCATTGTGGCCACACCCTACCCCCGGGGATCATAATTTGAATAAACTTGAGACTACACCATCTGAGGATGCTTTCACATAAATCTGGCCAATCAATGCTCTGCTGTTCTCGAGAGGCGGAATTTTACAGACTTTTCCAATATATTTTATGTAAAACTTAATCGTCCATTGTGGCCACATTTACCCACCGGGGGTTTATATTTTGAACAAAGAATGAGTGCACTTGAGTAGGTCATTTGGAACCTTTTCGGCTATCCATTTTAAGCTTTCCATTACATTATATCGCTTAATTAATCTATGATTATTGTGCAAGCATATGCTTTTGGTATTTATGCCTTGAAATTTTTTCATACATATTTCTATAATTACAGACAACGTCATTAAAAGGAACATGTAGAAGCCCGAAATTTGAACGGGACCACTTTCGAATTTGAGGTATCTGCAAATAGGCGGAGACATTTTAAATCGCATGGACGTGGTATGTAAAGTTTAACATTAGCACATATGTTTTTTTTTCGCAACAAATCCTTAAATGGAGAAGAGAGAGATTCATTGAGACTGTGTAGTTTCATGGTGCATAAATAATAAATGATTCTAGTGTTTTGGGATGGGGTTGATATCTCGCCCTACAGACTATAATACGGGGGCGACACGAGCCCATATTTACTAACCACACTGTCGATACCAGAATTCTTTCAAAGCACCCCTAACGAAAAATACAAAGTACAATAATAGACATATAATCTTTAAACCCTATTTATATAAAACTCAAACAATGTTACAGTTACAAAGTTTATTATATACAAAACACATATTGGATTATGGGGACTGACAACCGACTTACAATGCGTTAACGAAATTGATCTATCTCCAGGACAATTGGAGATAGACAAAGTATAAATGGTAACACATAAGCAGCAAATAAGTAAAAAGAATGCACGACTGTTAAAATATATATACAAATGTAGTAAACAAACATACATATAGAAAATACACACATTAACCCCCAGGAGAAAACTTGGGGATTATTGGTTAAAATATGGAAAAATTTTAAAGAATTTGTAATATTTGTACACCAAAACAGCCATACGTTAGCATGACTAGCATAGAAGAATTTCATGCGTAAGCATGATTAGATGTCATACGTCAGCATGACTGGCATGAAAGAATACATGCATAAGCATGATTAGATGTCATACGTCAGCATGACTAGCAAAAAGAATGACATGCGTAAGCATGATTGAATGTCATACGTCAGCATGACTAGCATAAGAATGACATGCGTAAGCATGAATGAAAGTCATACGTCAGCATGACTAGCTTAAGAAAGACATGCGTAAGCATGATTGACTGTCATACGTAAGCATGACTAGCATAAGAATGACATGCGTAAGCATGATTGAATGTCATACGTCAGCATGACTAGCATAAAAAAGCAGATATAAGCGTAAGCATGATTGATTGTCATACGTCGGCATGACTTGCTTGCATTAAATACATAAAGAAGAATAGTGATACACGTCATTAGATTATTGTAAATGCATTTTGCATTGTAGAATACTAGAATTGTAAAAACTAGCGTGTCTAGCAGAAAAGAAATGCATGCATTAGCATGATTGGAAACATGTCAGCATGACTAGTATGAAATAAATGTTTAGAATTAGTAACGTTGATAATCATGCAGCAGAATGACTAACATGAAAACAATTACTTGTAAATGATTGGCATTGGTGATATACATTTAGCATGAGAAATATAAGATTGACATAACATATGCAAGCAGAATAACATAATTGTTTAAAGATTACACATCTTTACACAGAAATTAATGAATATGTAAAGCAAAACTACTGCATAACAATAATACTAATAAAAATAATTATTTACAAATGACAATCCCCAAAGGTAATTTCACAAGGCGTGTGGTGGGGAGGATGGTGGTAACAAATTTCCACAATGGCTACGAACGCAAAGATGGTGAAACTGAAAACGAGGCTGGGTTATAAATAAACAACAGATGAGGCCCAGATAAGGCATATCTCAATACATGTAACACAGAATACCCATTGAGATGATTTAAATACATGAACGAAATGAATATGATGACAAGTACTTATTTATATAAACTAAGATTATGAAAATAATCTTTCATTTATATAAAACTCAAACAATGTTACAGTTACAAAGTTTATTATATACAAAACACATATTGGATTATGGGGACTGACAACCGACTTACAATGCGTTAACGAAATTGATCTATCTCCAGGACAATTGGAGATAGACAAAGTATAAATGGTAACACATAAGCAGCAAATAAGTAAAAAGAATGCACGACTGTTAAAATATATATACAAATGTAGTAAACAAACATACATATAGAAAATACACACATTAACCCCCAGGAGAAAACTTGGGGATTATTGGTTAAAATATGGAAAAATTTTAAAGAATTTGTAATATTTGTACACCAAAACAGCCAAATACAACTGTAAGCAGTTGTAGCCCCAAGTTTCCAATGTAAGTAAAAATATATAATAATTAAACAAGAAATAGAAAAACATATATACATTTAAGAACATATGCAACATGTACATCTTAAGACACACCTTGTGAAATTACAATACATGTACTACTGAATAAAGCACATTGATTTAGTAAAAGAACAAATGAAACAGACAGGTGTAGCTGTTTACTGATTTCTACAAAACAGAAGAGGCTATTTGTTGTTGTGCATTTTGAATAACTGAAGGAGATGTGTGAATGTAAGTAGTGTAGCAATTGGAAGACCATCTACCTAATGTTTTAATTAAGTGATCTTCAATGCGTGCCTCTTGTGCGGTTGTAGCTGCTCCGATTCTGAAGGAATGACCATTATAGAGATCAGAGTTTAGGCCTAATTGAGATAAAATGACTTTAAGTGTGTCAATGAAAATTGCTCTAGTTAGAATGGAACCTTCCTTGGTAACAAAGAAAGGCAAAGGTTGTGACTTGAAAACTTCTGATCTTAGTTTCAGGTATTTAACAACAGCATTCACTGGACAGACATCTGTTTGTGTCTTAAATAATTTAATCTGAACTCCATTTCTAAATGGATCTGTCTTTGATTTTCTTAATGTAAGTGCGACAAATGAGTCGTGACAAATTACATCTTGGATTGAAACATAATCATCATAATGAGAATCACTGAGGACAGTGAATTCCCCACATCGTAGAAACCCAAAAAATGCGACTGTACAAGCTGCTTCAAACATGTATGATGTAAACATATCAAAAATTCCTGACCTGAGTAATTGACACATTTTTGTTAAAATGGACATGGTGATAGGAAGCCTACTGCGTTTAGGAACAGCATACATGCTTTGTTTTTTCTTTACACCAGTTAAAACTGATTGCAAACAAATCAAATTTTGACCAGCATTATTTTGAAAAGGATTACATCCTTTCAATCTTAAATAAAAGTATCTGATACCACTTAAGTACAATTTGATCGTTGAATAAGCTAATCTTAAATGTTCGTCACAAAAAGCAACAAAATATATTAACAATTGTTCTGAAATTGGTGGTAAGTCACTAACGGAACCATGCAGTCCTCTCAGCAAGGTGAATTTGATGTAACAGTCCAGTCCAACTTTATATTGATTGCGCGTTCTAATGGAAATGGAATGGTCCCAGAGATTTTCTACAACACTGTCCAAATCACTTCCATTAAAGGAGGACACGGCGTACACAGAAGATCTGCTTCTGGTGCCAGCTTCTTGAAACGATCCATCTGCAAACGAGATAAACTATCAGCAATATTGTTTTTAACACCAGGTACATATGTACTGTAAATAGCGAAATTATTCTGAGCTGCACACATAGTTAATCGTCTCATTAGTTTCATAATTACAGGTTCCTTTGAGCGACCTTTGGTGATAATTTGCACGGTTGCTTGATTGTCACAATTAAAAACGATTCTTTTTCCACTCCATTGTTTACCCCATAAAATACTAGCAACAACTATGGGATACAGTTCAAGAAAGGCCATAGATAATGTATCATTGACAATGCGAGGTAGGTCTACTGGCCATCTATCACAGAACCAATGTCCTTCGAAGTAGCCACCATATCCGATTGTAGAAGAGGCATCAGTAAATAACTGAATAGAGTCTGACGTTACTTTGCACGCATCATAAAACATGGATATACCATTCCAGTTTGATAAAAATTCCAGCCACATGTATAAATCTGCCTTACACTCTTTATTTAGATGTATGTGGTAATAACCCTCTTTGACCGAGGACATAAGTTTGTAGAGGTAGGAGACAAATGACCGGCCGGGTAATATTACTCTGGTAGCAAAGTTTAAATGACCGAGTAATTGTTCTAGTTCCTTCCGTGTACAACTTTTTCTTGACAGAATGTTACTAATGCACAACGTAATCCTCTCAATTTTATCGAGAGGTAATCTGGCTTGCATGTTGATAGTGTCTAGAATAATTCCCAGATATTCTAATTCACAAGTTGGTCCTATAGTTTTTTTGGGTGACAATGGCAAATTAAGTCTGTGAAAAATTGTACACAATAATGCCATAGTTCTTTCACCACAAGACTCTGGGTTATCGACTGTTAAAAAGTCATCTAATAAGTGTAGAATATTTTGAATTCCATAATTATTTTTCGCAATCCAACAAATAGCTGATGAAAGATTGTCAAATAATTTTGGGCTTGATCTACAACCAAATGGCAATCGCACATAGTGGTAATAATGGTTTCTCCATTTAAAGCAAAACAGGTGCCACTGGTTAGGACTAATAGGAATTTGCTTAAAAGCGTCAGTCATATCTGTTTTGCACAAAAGACTGCCTTTTCCAAATTTTTGAATAATTTGAATTGCATCGTCTATTTTAACGTATGACAAAGAACATTGTTCCTTGTTTATAAGATCATTCACACTTGGTTCTGAACTGTTATGAGGTGAAGACAAATCAAAGATTAATCGTTTTTTCCCAGAGTATTTGTGAGTTGCTATTCCTAACGGGCTGACTCTGTAAGAATTAAACGGAGGCAGTGAAAAGGGTCCTTGAACATAACCTTTGTCAAGTTCAGTTTGTAAAAGTTCATCAACTATGCTTGGGTTTTGTCGCGCAGACAAAGAATTTTTGCATTCAAAAGTTTGTAAATTGTTGTCAACAACCAATGTATCGAATCCTTGTTCTAAACTGGAACACAAGTAATTCACAAAACTTTTGTCTGGGTATGAAGAAAGTTCAAATCTAAGTCTGTCAACGTTTATACTTGTCAGTGGTTCCTTTAGTCATTTTGTTGTGTTTGGTTTGGATTGACTGCTATAGTCTGTCCCACCAAGTTACTGTAAGCACTTTTCGCAAAATATCTCAAAATATATAAATACCTTGGCTTTCAACCCAGTTCCGATCGATAGATCATTTTTTTTCCAACCTTCCGCCGTTTATCCGAACCCTCGAGGTCAACCAGTGCATACACACGGCGGCAAATTCAAAGTCTACGGAGATTTAACATGGTAAACTCGTCCATTAGCGTCTAGATTACGGGGCCGGGAACCAGTTTTCGAAGGGAGTAGTCGTCCTTTGCAAAGTAAATTTCCAAAAAATCGTTAAAAATATAAGGAATTAATTTAAATTGCTTTTATTGATAATATAACTTTTACTTTGAATTAAAATAAATTTTAACAGCATTTAACAAATTTAATTATAAACTACGAGAAAATAGTCAGAATCTAACGAAGTACAACTTGTGGATAATAGCTGTGGGCATGATGATGCAAGCTTGCCAGGCGCAGTGTTTAAAACGTAAGTTGTTTATATATTCTATGGTACTTTTTGCAGCTGTTGTTGTTTTCCTAACTTATATACACACAAGAAAGAAGTGTCTACAAATGCTAAGAATATAAATATATTTCAAAACGCGTGATATTGCTGACATTAGAACAACAGCTCTATTGTATGGTTAACCGTTCGTGTTCAGTAACGGTCTGAATGTAAGCCCATGTGTGGAATATGAAAAGGGGTGTTTCTATGATTATAAAAGAACACGAATATGGTTAAACAACTAGGTGAAATAATACCAAAAAGAATATAACAGCTAGTTAACTATTATTAGTAACTAAAGTTTTAAAATTTTATTCCTACTTTCATTTTCAATTTACAACATTCCATGTACATTTTTATTTTTTCATTTATGTGTAGTATCAACACCCTGGGGACATCAAAACAGTTTTCAATAGATGACACATTACGGAATTATTTTTCAAAACTTTTGATAATATTAAAATGTGCATGTAATTTTTCATCAAGTCTTTGGATTGAGTTCTATAATGGTCATGCATTTATGTACATGCATGCATATTGATGAACTAATTAGCAGAACCAGGCATAAAGTAGATGAATATGCACGTACTGTTTCAGAAAATAATGATTTGTCTTGACCTTGCAGTTTAAATGAGAAAGTAATATATATGTAGTATTCATGAAAGGAAAACAGAAAAACTAAATAGAAGAACATGTCTGAATAGTTTGATCAGCACAAGAAGTTAAGATAGGCTGAATTATTTCATCTGAGTACAGACTTTAAAATAAAATTGATATACATGTAACATCAAAGGGAATCTTCCATTACCCGGTAATACTAGCTGTCATGCACATATTCAGAGTTCAAATTCTCAGTCTGGTCATCTCGAAAAAAAAAAAATTGATTGCCCTGTCCCAACCAACTGGCTAAAATGACTCAAAACTTTTTTTTATGTCCAAGAAGTAATTAACTTTTTTTGTATTCTGGAGAACACATTATTAATTTATAATAACTGGTAATTTTTCTGAGAATAATTTTCTCATCTACCTATATACCAACCTAATCCTGAGTTGGGAGAGGGCAGGCCTCAACAGCATTGTTTTTTTCTGTAAAGTCCTATACTGCTCAAATGTGAACTTAATTTGAAAATTTCTCTTTCCTTAATTCCAAGATTTTCATTTAAAGTACTTGTTTTTAAAAACCGTAGAGCATAATTAAAATATTTTTGTTTGATGTACTCTGACACACATTTTTCAAGGTGGGTAGGTACGTATCTTTTTTGGCTTAATAATATTGAACAAATTGATATCAAAGTGTCATTAAAAAATTCCAGACTCGACAGAAATTTATTAATATTTTCAATACACACTGGATATCTAGACAGATGAAATATATATTGTTAAAAAATTATTAATCTAAAAGCATCCAATAGAAATCACATACCACAATTTTAAAAGGAAACAGTATCTATTTCTAATAAATAAAACAATTTTTTTTTTAAATCAAAAATTCAAAGTGCTGAAAAAATGATTGGGTTGGGGTATTTTTGATAGGTCAGTCTGAGTACATCAAAGACATTTTTTTATATTGTTGCCCTTATTTGCTAGTACTGTATTTGGTTGACTTGAACTTTGACCTACTTTACAAAGATACCCCAGAAACTTTAAATTAACTAAAGACTTTTTAAAATATTGAGTGATGTATGTTGATAATTAACATAAATTTTATACATGTTTATGAGCTCATAAAACTCTTCTTTTTAACTATATGATATTCAGTAAACCACAAAAACTGATATCTTAATATTATAAAAATACATTGGGATGGAATCTCACAAAGTGGATCGTGCAATGTGACAATTGCTTTGAAACATGTAACACATGTAAAATGATAAATAATTATTTATGATGATTTCAACTTAATTATTCAGTTGAGGGTTGCATTCTGTATATGCTAGTAGCATAAAAATAGCTGACCACTCTTAGATTTTATAGATACATCTTTAAAGAAGCTAAAAGCAGGTGACATATGTGTTCCTTGGAACACTTTAGTTTGTAATGATATTGATGTCCTGTACTCTTTTATAACACTTTCTCTTCTTTCAGCAATGTTGAGCTTGATTTAGCCACTGCATTATAAGGAGAGAAGCAGACCAGAAACCCTGACTGAAGTAAAGATGATTTGCATAACAAAGGCAGTAAGTTTACCATATAATATTCAAGATCTTCAAAATATCCCGTCTCTTTTAAATACATGTATTGAGAATGATTTGTTGAAGCTCAGCACCTGTCAGATGTAAATACATGTTACATTTTTCCCTCATCATTCGTAATCTTCTTCCAAAGAACCACTGGCCAGAAAAGTTGAAACTTATGCAGAAGCATCCTGGGGTAGTGTAGATTCTAAATTATTTAAATTATGACCCTTGGGGTAGGGTGGGACTACAATAGGGAACCCAACTTTTACATTGAAATATACAAGAAAAATCTATAAAAATCTTCTTCTTTGGCATTACCAGTACTAGGCAAGCAAAACTGAAACTTATGCAAAATCATTGTGGGATAGTGTAGATTTTAAATTGTTCAAATTATGACCCCAGGGGTTAGGTTGGGTCACAAAAGGTATAACAAGGGGGAAATCTGGTAAAGAACTGCATCGTCAAAGCTATTCAGGTAATTATAAGTGATGTGGCTCATGAGCCTCTTGTTATATAAGTTGTGATATTTTACAGAAAATTTGAGAAAATATTAACTGCACCGGTAATACTGCACTATCTCACCATTTGAAAGAATAAACAAACATTGATAAAAAAAATGTAATTATAACTGAAGCATAGAATATTTGATTATACTTTTATTGCTTACAAAATTATGTTTTTATAGGATGAATAAATCACAAGAGTCCAAAGTTTTGATGACCATGCAGAGTCGAGATATTGAAACAAAGACATGCCTGCACTGTTCACTCAATTTTTCAGAATAACGTGTCAAATTGAAATCCATCTTATGTTGGACTAAACAATCAGGACATTTTTCTGGATCACAGGTTGTAAGTGTTTACATTGTATATGAATGAGAAAGATTTTGCTCTTCCTATGTATACTTCAGATTTAAACCTGAAAATGAGAATTGACCAAGTATATGTATTTTTGATAAGTAAACAATTCATATTAATATGATGAGCACAATCTGAATTTTTATTGAATCTTTTATATTTCACTTTGCACAAATTTAAAAGTATTTTTTATGCACTGAAATCTTTATGACGATTTAAAATGTTTTATCATTAATTTTTTTTCAGGCACAAAGTATTGACAAAATCAAAGATTACCTGGTAGTCTGCAAATGGAGTGATCATTGGATGAGGCAGACAACACCATTTTCCTCGGAAATTTTAGAATAGAGGCAATCTCCATCTTCATAGATGACTGATGTCGACATTTTCTCACTTCTGTTCCATGTCTTTTCTACAGCATGGACTCCAGCATCAGTGGGCACTTGACAATTATTCTTCTTATTTTGTTCTAATATCCTTAAATATAGGACAAACAATTCATTTATCTTTTAAAATATTGTTAAATTTTACTTAATAAAACGATGAAAACAGTGCAAACAAACTGGTTTATCCTATAATCTAAAGCTGTTTTATGGTTCAAGCATTTATAATTTTACAAGACTTATTAAAAATCTGTTAAGGTACTTGGATTCTCAGCCAAGAAGGATAACTCTTTAATTTATAATTTAATTCAGAATCTCAAAATGAATCTTGAAAAATTAAATCTCTTCATGCAACAGTTTTTATTTTATCATGATAATGTTTATAACTTCTCAATGTCCTTTAAGGTTGTTTGAAGTTCTCAGAAAGGTCTTGTAGATAGTCGAAATGTTAACCTTATATAGTAAAACTCTGTTAAAGAAAAGTCAATGGGACCTATGAAATTACTTTGCTATAACCATGATTTGTTTTATCCGTTTAAGGAATTCATTAATTTACATAGCTGGGGATCCAAGGTTACCTCGCTATATCTGTGAATTCGCAATATCTGTGTTCATATCTAGACAAATTTTTGAAATAAAATCTCTTACTTAAATATGAATTTTACTCTTAATTCACACAAATAAACAGAAATAATGATTTGACATTTGAGGGCGAGACAGCACCATGACAATGGGCCGAGACAGAGATATCTCAGCCCCGAGGGAGAGACAGCTGTACTCAGGCCCCCCAAAATTATAGTCTTGTTTCCTGTTACCCAACCTACCTTAATTTTTCGCACCTGACCCTACAGTTTTTTAGGTTTGGAAAAAATCTGGAATTTCTGTAATTTCATGTTGCATGTTCTAAAACTGAAAAAAATAATGTATATTCAAGTGGTATTTTACGAAAGACGAATAGGGCCACATAAAAAATATTTTTATCTGGTAATTACGAGATCTTTTCTCGTAATAACAGGATAATTAACTCGTAATAACGAGATCTTTTCTTGTTATAACGAGATCTTTTCTCGTAATTACGAGATAAAAATATTTTTTTATGTGGCCCTATTCGTCTTTCGTAGTATTTTATGATACTACCGAGTATATGTTTTAAATATGGACTTTCATAACATACTACTTGAGTCATGCATCAAAAAACAAAATTTAAATTGTAATGAAAATATTGGTCTATGACATGTTTAATTTGGTTTTGTATTAGTTCATATCGAAAATAAAAAGAAATTGAAAAATAAAATAATTTTCCTGCCTACCTACCCAATTTTTTTTTCAGGCTGGTAGCAGGAAACAAGATAATTATTTTTTTGGCCTTATAAGGCACTGTCTCACCTAGTCCAAAACATCTGTATCAGAGCTGATACACTACTAGGTATATGATATAGGCATATATATGCATGTTTGCGTACTAGGGATTTAACTGTCAATGAATAAACTTACTTTGAAAATTTACAAATACAAAAGGAAAAAAAAATTGCTGGGACTCAAAAATCAAACTCAAGAAACCTGCATTATTTCATACCTTCAATATATATGTATCTGCAGGTACTTATGGCTTAATATGTATAATGTACATGTTTGTGCTTTTCTATCTTGTAGTTGCACCAGGCAGCTATTCAGATTCCTGCAATGAAAATTTTTGTTCTGAAAACTCATAAAAATTAAAAGGCTTTCTGTTAAATTGTTTTATTGAAATAGAGAAAAGAAAAAAATTATAATATATTTTAAAAAATCATAATCCTTCACACTTGCGTTATGTATTTTAATTTTATGTGTATAGGAATATTTTAAATTTTGGTATAATTCTGTTATATTTAAGGTAAACAAAAATGTATATCCTGGGTCTGAATTTACCTAACACCGATACATTACAGGAAGGTTTGGAAGGGCAAGGTCAAAATTCATTGGTGACGTAGTTTAATTGATGCAGACAACAAACATTGTTTTGCACCGAGATTAAACATAAAATATCAAGTATAATCAACGAAGGATTTATGTGTCCAAAGAGTTGGAAGTATAACAAAGTCAAGAAATACTGTGGCATGTGCATGTGAGGACATCACTTGTTCACATACTGTGACATAGAAACGATAATATGACTTATTTTGACCGTGTGTTACAGTTTTTTAACAAACGTAAAGGAGTTGGATTTATAAGGAAAGCTAAGGTGAAACGTTAAGGTAAGGCAGCAATTATGATTTTTAAAAATCTTAATCCTAGTGATATTACTTTGATTGATCTCTAATGTTACGTGTTGGCTATAAATTATAAAACTAATTTTACTTGAGCTAAATTTGCAGTAGCCTAGCCTCGATTATTCTATCGAAATGTTATGTATGAATTGAGTCATACCTCTTTGCCTTTATGCAGTGACTAACCCTTTTATGAATCTTTGGTCCCTTTGGTCTCAGTCTGGGTATGAAAGTTTGTTGAAGAAGTAATATTTCTTGTAGTATAAATATATACTTGGAAGTCTCGGGCGTTATAGGTTTTTCGGACGTCGATAACCATAGAGCACTCCCGAACGTGTGTGACGTCATTTCCTTACTGACGACGACGTACGGAAAATTACGAACAATGGATGATCCCCTTCCGAAGTGGTGGCCATTTTGACAATGTTAAATCTCCGTAGACTTTGAATTTGCCGCCGTGTGTATGCACTGGTTGACCTCGAGGGTTCGGATAAACGGCGGAAGGTTGGAAAAAAAATGATCTATCGATCGGAACTGGGTTGAAAGCCAAGGTATTTATATATTTTGAGATATTTTGCGAAAAGTGCTTACAGTAACTTGGTGGGACAGACTATAGTAGCTTTTTGTTTAGATTCATTCATGGATTTAGGTGTTTGAGGACATGAAAATCTGGGATGTCCATTTGCTTTGCAAGCTGTACAAGTGTGAGCGTATCTACAATAAGGTTTGCTGCAACCTTTTGTGGAGTTGTAATTATTACAAATTTGTTCACCATCGTGGAACAAAATTTCTCTGCCATGAATATCTTTCTGTTGACGAAACACTTTAAACCCTGAATGAGGACGAGTGTTTTGTCTTTTTGCGTTTCTATGTGGGCACATACCTGAGGAGTGAATGTTAGAGCCACAAACATCACACGACTTGACAGAAGACCCAGCACAAATCAAAGTTCTTAGTTCAAAATCTCCTTTAGCCCAGTCAATTTTAATGTTATGCTGTAGAAGCATAGCTGCGCATTTACTCGAGAACATTTGATGGTACTCGTAAAATTTGTCAGGCCATACATTAGCAGTTTCTATAATGTGTGAGAGATAACCATCTAACTCATTAGACCTGTTGGGAAAGGCAGAACACATGATTTTTTTGTACCTTCCAAATGCCACAATGAACTCATCTAAAGATAGACTGCGTGTAAGGCGTTCGTCATTTTCTTTAATTTTCTTCTGGGAAGGGGTTGTGTAGTTGGGGATTAATAACATGTTGAGATTCACGTCCTTACCTGCCAGGATATCAGCACGTAGTTCTGGCGAAACCATGTCTACCTCAGATATATTCACGGCAGGAGTCCCAGCGTTCGTTGACATGGCTGTTTGAAGACTGTATTTAGCTTCATTGGTCTTGTTTGACTGAGTTAATGATGTTATGGCCTGCTGACACAATTGCAAAGTACTAAGAATAACGGATTCTGACATCGCAGATGTGGTAACTGTTGATGTAGCCATTGTAGGAAGCGTTGAGCTGGGCGGAAGTGAAGTAAAAGACGAACTTCTACCGCCTGGAATTCCTGGTTCCGGATAGACTTCGATGTTTGAAGCGCGTGCACCCTCGGCTATATTAGCAGAAGGAGTGGGTGCCCCTGAATATAGCACAGAGTTACGCATGGTAGAAATATCATGGTTATCCACAGTTTGCATATCATTGGTAATGTTAGCTTGATTGCGATCACCATCTGCAGATGCTTGCTGACCCTGAACGGATAAAACATTGTCTACATAAATCCTTTTCAGAATGCTGTGACTTAGGTTCACATTAATGTTTATTCCATTATCTGACAGCTTTTTCTTCAGTTCGGCGACCGTCCAGTTACTGGGATTGTCACTATTTGACATGGTCAAGTTTGTTTGTTTCCTTGTTCGACGAACCGTAGACATAACTTTTAGGTCAAAAGTTAAAGTTCAATAAGTCACAAAACAACGCGTGAAAACATAAAATCGTTTCACAGGAAGACAGAACTGATGTCACACTAACTGAAAAATCATGATTTAGCAATAATTCCCTTAGTAAATGTAAGGATGGTGGTTGATAAAAAATATAACAAATTTCCACAATGGCTACGAACGCAAAGATGGTGAAACTGAAAACGAGGCTGGGTTATAAATAAACAACAGATGAGGCCCAGATAAGGCATATCTCAATACATGTAACACAGAATACCCATTGAGATGATTTAAATACATGAACGAAATGAATATGATGACAATTACTTATTTATATAAACTAAGATTATAAAAATAATCTTTCATCAAAATTTGTGCAAAAATCTTCCGTAGTTTGAGGTTGGAAGTACGATAGAAGCACAATAGAAACACAATGGAAGCGTTAGCGTATCGTACGTGAGTCAAATAATTATGATATCAATCGTTAACACTCGGGAAGGTGTTAATTTAATAGCTATTTCGAGCGTAGTTTGGGGACATTTTTAGCTCTACTGGTCAGAGACGAGAAGAGCTTATGCGATAGTAATGCGTCCGGCGTCCGTCCGTCAGTCTGTCTGTAAACAATTTTAATAAATGTTACTCCTCCTACAGATTTGGTCCGATTTCAATATAACTTGGCACACAAATAAACACAGGGACCTGTAACATACTGTATTTGATTTTACGTAATCACTACATGTATACAAAAAAAGAAAGGGAAACAACGTCAGCCCGAATTTACACAGGGTCGATCTTGGAAATGTTTCGTGTTTTTAATAAAATACCTTGCAGTTAGTGGAATAATGGCTGGAATCATTCAGCAATAATTACTCTTTAATAAAAATATCATCACGGTCATTTAAGAATCGTGTAAGTCGTGTTTTGCAAATCAGATATCCTGTCATGCAAGTGATGTAGTTTAAGTCGTCCACTAAATTCGTTAAACTATGCATCCAAGATTTAACGCGAGATGTGATTGGTCAACAGTCCTTTTCTAGAAAAAATCTGACCAATCATCCTCCGCCTTTTACCTTACATGGGTTTTTCCAAAATGTCGTCTGTTCTCAGCTCAGGCCTTGTCGTGAACAAAAAAGCCACCGTATTTATTGAAATCGAAGAGGTCGTACGTTTTAATTGTAATTAACAAAAGAAAAAGATGAATTTCGTGATCGCTGGATCTTTAGCTTGTGTTTTCCAGCTCCGGAAAGACTTCAAAACTGTAGAATATGTGCGAATTTTATCTCGTTTTAGTGGACGACTTAAAGTACGTCGACTCGGACAACTGGATATCGAGTTAGTATAACCTAACTTAAAAGCTATATAAATGAATGAGGTTTCTGTTTTATTAAAGAATATTTATTGTAGTATGATTCTAGTTATATTTTAATTGGCTGCATGGTATTTTGTATGACATACGAAACATTTTAGAGAGAGGCCCTGTGTAAATTCCGGCTGACGTTGTTTCCCTTTCTTTTTTTGTATACATGTAGTGATTACGTAAAATCGAATACAGTATGTTACCGATCCCTGTGCAAATAGACTACACTAAGATACATAATTCTGTGCATCGGTTTTTGATTACGATGAACGATGTTGCCATGGTTACTAAAAATAGAAATATTTCTGTGAATTCTTTAAAAATGCTACTCCTCCTAAAGTTTTTATCCGATTTCAAAATAACTTGGCACGCAAGTAGACTACACTAAGAATAGGTACATAATTCTGTGCATCAGTTTTTGATTTCGATGAACGGTGTTGCCATAGTTACTAAAAATAAAAATTTCTGTGAAATTCTTTCAAAATGCTACTCCTCCTACAGTTTTGGTTCGATTTCAATATACATGTAACTTGGCAAACAAGTAGACTGCACTTAGATACATAATTCTGTCCATCTGTTTTTTTATTTCGATGAACGGATTTGTCGTGGTTACTAAAAATTAAATTTCTGTGAAATTCTTTCAAAATGCTACTCTTCCTACAGTTTTGGCCTGATTTCAGTATAACTTGGCACACAAGTAGATTACACTAAGATACATAATTCTCTGCATCGGTTCTTGTTTTGATGAGTGGCAAGGATCATTTTTCTATTTATTGCTGTTTTAAAGTTTCAAGTCGCAACTGCTACTTTTCTCTTCCTTTTATTTGAAAGTATAAACCAGTAGAGCTACAGTCTCGACAGAGACTTCTGGTTTTAAAATGAGATATGAGCCGCAACTTGGCCAACATTGTCCTTTGGATATGTACGAGTTTAAATTAAAATTCACATTCTGTGCAAATGAGACCAATAACCAAGTTGGGGCTCGATGTAAACAATGTCGTTGAAAATTACCCGGTAATCCGTAATCCTCTAGACTTTACTTTTGTATTGGCTGCGCCTCGAGAAAGTCTTGGATTTGGGTAACTGGAATCTTGCTAACTCCCCCAATGATATACTTTAACTGTATAATATATATACAATTCCAAATAAGGGAAATGTTTGAAAAAAAATTCTCAAACTAACCTCGCGGCCCCGGGAAATCTGATAAAACGTCACATCTCCATTATTCATCTTGTTAACAGCATATATTTTGTTGTAACAATTATTGCTCTTTTCATCCTTTACATTGTTTAAAATATAAACTTGGAATGTCAAAGGTATTATTTCATCTGCCTTACTGTATGTGAGATGTTGCTATAACATTAAACATTAACTTAACAATTACTTATTCTGCATCTTACCTGATCAGTGTTAACATTTTTTAGTTTTGTTAAACTTCCTAGTGATATCGATAATCAATTAATTGCGTCTTTTGAGTTCGTGTGCGTGGTAAAGGGGGAATACCTCTCCTTATCAAAAATGCCTAAAATTCTTATTAAAACAAGCAAAGGTTTTCAAACAGAATGTCTTGCATACGGAACGCCAAATAAACATATATTCAAATATTTGTACCTATCGTTAAGTAATTGTACCTATCTTCAAATGAATTGAAGATAGGTACATTTGAATTAAAGATAGGTACAAAATTCAATTGAATTGAAGATAGATGTAAATAATTATACCTATCTTCAAATAATTTAGCTAGGTAGAAATGAATTATACCTATCTCTAATGGAATTACACCTATCTTCAATTCAATTAAAGATAGGTTCAATTTAATTATACCTATCTCTTATTCATTTGAAGATAGGTATAACAGATTTAAAGATAGGTACAATTGATTTGAAGATGGGTTCAATTACGACATATCCACAAAGGATTTAAAGATAAGTACAATTCAATTATACCTAGATTCTATTCGTTTTACGTTGTTGGAAAAAATGAACGCTCTGGATCCCTTGAAGACAATATTGAACATACATGTAGAGGGAAACGCACAAAAGCTACAGAGCGACGGCAACAAGTAAATGGAGAAATAAAGGCCCAATTAATTCAAAGTGTGCAAAAAGCATCATATACTTACTAAAATACACATGTATATCATGTATGTATATCTTGTATCGAAGTCGGATGAAGATTCCGATAATCTTTCGCGCCAGCTGTGGCGTATCGGAAGGGAGTAAATATTATTGCCAATATCTTAGTAATTCAAGACAGGTTCAATTCAATTGTACCTATCTTTAAATCAATTATACCTATCTTCGATTCATTGTATTTGTACTTTAAATGAATTAAAGATAGGTATTATTGAAGTGTACCTATTTTAAATTAATTTGAAGATAGGTACAATTAATTTATAGATAGGAACAATACATATGAAGATAGGTACAATTATTTGAAGATAGGTACAAATATTTGAATAAATGTTAATTTGGCGTTCCATATTTGCAGGTATACAAGTCATGTTGCAGCAAAACACCCTTATTTCTGTTTTTGGTGTTTATATACCATATGACAGCGGTATTTGTCATCATAGTACTTTTTAAATATTGTTTACAGTTCATACGAATATAGTATTTCCAGTATGTTAATGTTATTCTTAATGGTGATTTGAACATAAATTACTTTGTGAATTACATACAAATGATGCCAAATCATTTACTTTTTGCAAATTTATAGATGTATGTAATTTTCCCATACTGTTTACAGTTAATTTTCTCCCCCGCTTTAATTTCGCCCTCTTCTTGATTGGGCGAATTTTATACGGGGCGAATTCAAATTACACGATGTAATTTCTTAAACAGAACTATGACAGGGCGAATTTAAAACGGGGCAAAATTGTTTACAAATGCAAAAGGGCGGAAAAAAACACGGGGTGAAAATAACCCTGTATACAGTTATCGATTTTTCTGTTCAGGACAAATTTTTACTTTTGTACCAATGCAACCATGCCAGGCCATCTTTTTATGGCCCTCTCCCGACTCAGATTAGAATTACTGGGTCAGTAGGTAGGTGGGACATTTTTTTTTCAAGAACATTTTTTTTTCCAGAAAAAAAAATTCAGCACGTTTCTGACAGGATAGAGAAATAAAAAGAAAATAAATATTGTGACCTGGAATGAAATAAAGGGTTTTGTGTCTTGCCATTTTTAATCAGTCGGTCGGGAGAGAGCAACCAAACTTTTTCAGAATGGACTTGGATTACATTCTTTTTAATCACGTTATCACTGCATGTCATTACAAGATTCATTGACAATTGTTCACGAAGGTTGTTAGAAAAGTTTGCGGACACATTGATTTTCGGAAAATTTATTGTTTACTTAGAGATTAACGTTTGTTTGATGAAACGTTTATCTGTTTTTTATACTTATTTAAACATTCAGGTCCATCTACTACTTTTTTTTTTAAAATATGCAATGAATTTTACTTTGTGGTCATAGGAGCCATCATCACTTGACGTTAATTATCTTGAAAATTTTATTCCAAACCTGTCGAGTTTTTTCTTCACATTTCTAAATTTCCTGCAAGTGCATAGAAATTTATGTCTTTTTCCTACTTGTAAATTGGATTTTAATTATAGCGAGACATGTAATGATCTTTAAAAGTTAATCGGAAAAAAGCAAATCTTTGCATATTTATGGGAAAATATTGATAGATTAAAATTATCAGCAGTTTTGCTAACGCGCTCACTATAGAACTTGTTCGAAAACTTTTCTGACAACCCTCGTATATCCATAACATCTGATAACTTTTCCGTATTGTGTATTCTATATTTCAAACCAAGCGTGTTATCTTGCAAGATTTCTACCACTTAACTCTTAGAATTACAGAAGGCTACCACAGAAGCTATGACGGAATACAAACTGTAAACTGATGTTAGACCAATCGATACTGACATTCACTCAACGGATAATAAAGCAGAGTTCAATCAGGCAATGATCAGGCTTTTTCAATAAAAATGGAAC